TCCGCTCAGGCACTGCGTGGACAGGCATTTCTCAGCTTTGGGTACCACGTGCTCAGCAGTGTGTGGGGTTTAACAGAGAGCATCGCCCTTTCTTGTGGCCTTTAAAACCTGTTCGCTTCTGCAGCATCTGCGTACTCTTAACTGGCTTTTAGGGTGCCCTTGAGGGTTAGCGGCTACTCTACAGAATGTGTTAACTGCACTGCTGATGTTCTTTCTTTCCTGTGATTTGCCATCCAGTGCTTCACTTTTAAAACTGTAAGAACAACTTTTAAAAAATAAGTATTCAAGATATTTTCAAATAAAACGACTTTTTCTTTTTCTTTCTGTTTTTTTTTTTCCCCCATCAGAAAATGCTTTTTTTACCCTAGTCATGTTATCAAGTAGACCCTTGGGAATTTTTTTCCCCCCTGAAATTAGAAAGTTAACAGGGATAACAGTAAAGTCTCTTTTAGCCAGAACCTTCATTTTGTTCTCGAGAAGGTAGGAAATGGTTATTTGCCAGGCTTAGCTCTGGAGCTCCTGTAATATGTTTAAGAAGATGCTTAATAGAAAAATTCAGCACGTGTTTATGGCTCTCCTTGAAAGGGCAGCAGGAGTCGTAAGAAAAATATCCCAAAAGGTAGTCAGAGCGGTGACATGCAGATGTGGGAATGTTTTCAGCTTTGGGGACGTGTCAGCAACTGTGGCTACTCAGCGGTCATGGTTTAACGGAGCAGCTGAGTAGCCCCGTCTTGTCGGGGCTTTTCAGGCGGGTCATACTTGTCTCTTTAACTTCGTCAGTAGGAAATCGCAAATGGAGAGTAGCGTCTCTGTTTACCTAGAATTAGATGTGCGTGAGAATCACTCAGAGTAGACATCTCAAATTATCCGAGGCAGGGTACAGATGGAAAAGGACGGGGGACAGATTGCCATGCCACCGAACCCCTGTTGATGCGTTGAGGTTTTAACTATAAAAGAGCTGAGGTTCATTTCAACTTCCTCTTTTACCAGGTCTTAAAATTGAATAGAAAGCCATTTTGTCATTT